TTATAAAAGGTCGACTTCAGAACCAGTTTTCCCCATAAACATAATGTTAATATAATTGACAATTTCTCGTAGATGGCTGAACTAATCTTAATCAAATTTTGCTATAATGTACTTTCACATTTCCTCTACCAAATAGCATACCCGCCCCTTCAGACCCCCCTTTCAACTGGGTAAAAACTATGGCATTTCGAAATGACCCAAAAATTTCTATGTTTTAGTCACATGATGAGAATAATTTTTTGTCAGAAAAAACTAGATATGTGGACCATCATTTTCCAGTTTACAGAATTGATTTAGCTCGTTCCGTTCGGGAGATATAACGATTCTTGAGAGGACAAGTTTTTTTGAACGACTTGATAATAATAATTTATTACTGTAGAATTAATACCATAAGAACAATGAGTTAACATTATAAAGAGTCAACTTTTTAGTTAACATGAACTTTACATTTGTATATTTTTAAATTACACTAAAGTTAGCTTATAATTTGAGTAAAATAACGTGATTTATAAGCACTGATTATAAAAAGATAATAATAAGTTTTTGTGAGATAACTTGAGATACTTTTTATATAATGATAAATTATGACAAATCATGAATTGCATTGTTAAAATACAATGTTTTGTTGAGTTTTAATTTTTATTCTATATCATGCTACAATCTATACTATTAGGAGAAATGATATCCTATTAGACTATGGTATTTATAGTATACTTAAAATTATGAAAATAGTTTCATTATTTAGGTTTACATTCGTAGGCACCAGAAATCAAGTTTCATTAACTTTGGATAATTAGTTTTGATGCTAAAATTTTTCAAAGTGATCCAGTCAAAATAATGTATTCCTATGGGAGGGTCTTATTTTTGGTATTTGTTGACGTGTAAATTTCGACTAAAATTTATCATGCTTAAATAATAATAGAGATAATACAAAACCCCTACTCTTTTGAAATCACCAATATTTAATGTATTTAATGATATGCTATTCAATGGCCAACAGTGACGGGTACCCCAACTGTGGCCACACAAAAATCGGTGATTAACCCGATTGGCGGCCTGTGTTCGGTCGGTTCGCATTTGATTCTCATTATCATTGAAGTTATGATATCTTTATTATCACTTTCAAAGACTTTTATAAAATTGTATTTTCACGAATGATATGTCAAAATTATAATAAGTTACACAAAATGTACATTGTATATTGCAATCGTATCATGATCATTTTTCCAATCACAACAAACACTAACATTTGTGATTAGCATTTAATGTGTAAAAATTTAAAAAGTATTACGACAATGACTTTTTGTTGAAAAAATTAATTAATGTTAAATTATATAATACGGCACTTGTAATGGTTGATGGCTTGAACCGGACTGAACTGAAATTAATTGTCAAATTGAATTATCAGCATTTCTTTTGTCTTTTTTATCATGTATTTAAGCAAAAGTCACTTAAAACTTAAATAAAATTAGATTTTAAGTTTATTAAACCGTAATAGCAGTCAATTAGAGCGAAGCAAACATTTATTTCATATATTTAAAGATGAAATTTGCTTTCAATGAAAAATTGTTTCACAATTGTTTTGTTTAAACAAATATCTCATAAATATACTATAATTAAAGCCTTAAACTAAATTTAATATGAATTATAACATTTTGACTAATTTTTGGGTCAATGACTGCCAAAAAATAACTAAAAGAGTGTTTCGAAAAAGTATTTTTCAATTTTCATCTCATATTAGTTGAGAATTTGGTTACAAAAAATGTTGTCTCGAGTCGTGCATAGAGTGAGAAAACGATTGAATACTACATTGAATACATTGAAAGTGGATAATCGGAAGAATAGTTGGCATAACTTACTTAAAATACATAACGAACGCAATTTACAACATTTGTCTGATTTCGAGAAAATCAATTACACAGAAGTGACTGATGAGCGACTGATAAATCAATGTATGCTTAAAGTGTCTAATATTGTTAACAGTTCCACAATCGAAGACATTGCCTATACTTTTCCAGAGGCTGTGATGATTAACGTAGAAAAGTGTCGGACAAACAAATGCAAGACAGCATTCATTGCATTTGAAAGTGAAAGACAGTGCATTCAAGCCTTCCTCGACGGCCATCATCTTGAAATCAAGTCAATCAAAATTACGGTCACATTCGCTGACATTATATTTGAAAGAAAAACAATCGACAAAACGGACACTATTTAAACGTTTTATAATTTATTCAAAGCATACTTAAGATTAAGGAATGCTTTAATTGTACTAATATTGTAAATAAAGTTTCATTAAAGTAACGTTATATTGAATTTTTATTAACTTATGAAATAAATATAAATTATTTAAACAAATTAACTATTATTTGCTATTTTGATATCTTTTCGGAGGAGTCGGTCGTATTGAAGCCAAACATCGCTTTCATTGACTCTATTGTTCAATAATGTCATCACATTCTCGATGAGCAGTGATTGACGTTTTCTTACTCCAGATTTGGCATATTTTCGGGCAATCTTTGGGATCGACTCAATGGTAGACAAACATGACTTTTCAATGATATCTGGATTCGTAATTATTTTCCAATCATTTTCATCAATCACTCGATCGGGAGATCTCTTCTCGTTTTGAAAATAAAGACTCAATAATTGGTTCGCAATTCTCGATGAAATTTGTTCATTGATTAGCGAATCGATGATTTGGGCAACAGTTTTGAGATCTACTGAACACGACTCAAAATTTTGTTTCAATTCTTGTAATTGAGTTTTGAGTTCAGTATTCATAAAAGTAAAGATTGTATCAAATTGTTTGGTTTGACTATAATTAGCGATTTGAATGAAAACATCTGTCATTCCCTTCTCATTCATTAATTGAAAAATTTGATCCAAATTTAATCCATAAGTAGTCAACAAATGGTCTCTCAATTGATTTGGCAATTGTTTGCCACTAACCTCTCGCTCGAAGTCTGAAATATTGATTAAATCAATGGTAGAGTCGTTGTCATCCCTGAGCAGAATGGGGGGCAGATTGGGTTCGGGCATAAACCGGTAGTCCTGAACCACCTCTTTGTCTCTCATGGCGACCGTCTGTTTGAGTTTCATGTCATACATTCGCGTCTCATTCACGACATGACCGCCGCTTTCAATCACACATATCTGTCGTTGCATTTCGTACTCAATCGCCGATTGGAGGAAACGAAATGAGTTTAAGTTTTTCACTTCCGTTCGGACGCCGAGCGGCTCATCCGCTTTGCGCACAGATATGTTGGCGTCGACCCGAAGCACTCCCTCTTCCATTTTACACGTACACGTCCTCAATGTCTTCAATATTAGGATCAACTCTTTTATTAGAGACACCGCTTCCGCAGCGCTGCTCAGGTCGGGCTCAAACACAAACTCCATGAGTCCAATGCCGGCCCGATTCAGGTCCACGAGTGACCTATTGTTGGTGATGTCTTGGAGTGACTTTCCTGAGTCCTGTTCTAATTGTATTTGTTTTAGTTTCGATCGTTTCATATATGCGGCCGACTGTTGACCGGCGGACACAATGAAGTCGATGTAGCCATCGGTGGCCAACGGGTGCCGCTGTTGAGTGATCTGATAGCCGGCCGGCATATCGGCGTAGAAGTAGTGCTTCCGGTCAAAGAGCGAGCGCTTCCACACGTGACAGTTGAGGGCGAGAGCCGTCTTAATGGCCGACTCGAGACACCGACGGTTGAGGACGGGTAGTGTCCCGGGAAGTGATCCGTCGAAGACAGACACCTGAGTGTTGGGCGAACTCTGGTATTGCGTTCCCGAAGACGAGAACAGTTTGGCCGAAGAACTGATCTGTGAGTGCACTTCCAGTCCTATCACTGTCTCGTATTGCGAGACCACTTGCGGTGACAATTGATCCCAAAGAGCACTCATATGACGACAAGTGAAGACACGATGTCTTACGAGAGGTTTTGTGCGAAAAATTGAATTCATTTTTGAATACAATTAAAACTCAATTCAAAAGCGAAGCAAACATTTGGCCAAACATTGCGTGAAATGCCATTCAATTGAATGACGTATTCATTGGACTTCACGTGACGTATGACTCGAACCAAAACATTGCAAAAACAGCTGATATTTGAGTCACATTTGGAATCAATTGTCACTCAAAGGACTTCTTCGGGAAGCGATTGAAGACATGAATAAAATGGGGAAAAAGCGCAAAACAATTACAGACTTCTTCTCCACTGATTTGGCGAAACAGAAGTCAATGAATGCCAACAAAAGGGTCGCAAAGCGGACACAACTGGACGTCAATGAAGTGCTGTTTGTGAAGGAAGTGACCAAATGTGTGGACAAGTCATACAAAGAAGTGATTAGTCTTAGCGATAGTCAAGAGTCTGTGGACAAGAGTCTGCCAACAGATTCGCCGCAAAATGTGGTCAAAACAGCCGAAGACCAGAAACCGCCCGAAACACCAGAAGAAGCGCTGAAACGAGTGTTTGGTTTCGATTCGTTTCGGTCTTCACTACAAGAATATGCCATCAAATGTGTGATCACTGGTCGGAAGGATGTCTTCGTGTCGATGCCGACGGGCGCCGGAAAGAGTCTGTGCTATCAATTGCCGGCCATCTGTGATGTGAACAAACTAACGATAGTTGTCTCACCACTCATTGCGCTCATCACTAATCAGATCTCAGCGCTGAAGAAGTTGCGGATCAACGCCGAGACCATAAACTCTCATTTGACTGCAAACGAACAAAAGAGGATCAGAAGTGATCTGATGTCGCAAAGAGTTGGCATTAAATTGCTTTATATAACGCCGGAAATGGCGGCCACTCAGGGCTTCGCTATGATTGTCGAACATCTGTATAAAAGCGATCAATTGAGTCGAGTAGCCATCGATGAGGCCCACTGTGTCTCCCAATGGGGACACGACTTCAGACCCGATTATCTAAAGCTGTGTCGACTCAAAGAACGCTATCCTAATGTGGTTTGGATTGCATTGACGGCAACGGCTTCGGAGAAAGTGGTCGCAGATATCATCAAATTGTTGAAACTTCGGGAACCGGTTTCCAAATTCATTTCTCCCAATTTTAGGCAAAATCTCTTCTATGATATTGTTTTCAAGCAAATGATTAAAGAGCCGATCGTTGATCTCAAACAGTTTGTTTTGGACGAAATCGGGCCCAAAGACCTGCCGCCCCCTAAAACAGATATGTTTTGCAGCGCTAAGACATTGGTTCAAAAGCCAATCGTGAATAACAGTGACGTCGGAATCATTTACTGCCGAACGCGAGCCGCTTGTGATGAGATCGCCGACTCGTTGAGTAGGTTTGGGGTCCGAACGATGGCATATCACGCGGGACTCACTGCTCATCAGCGCAGGGAATGTCAGGAGAAGTGGATGACAGGAGCCGTCAAATGCATCGCCGCGACCGTCAGCTTCGGTATGGGTGTCGATAAGGCAGAGGTTAGGTTTGTTGTCCACTGGAATCTTCCGCAATCACTGACCGGCTATTATCAAGAGTCGGGTCGCGCGGGAAGGGATGGAAAGGACTCCAAATGCAGAATTTATTACTCAACTGAAGATCGAAACACTATTTCATTTCTTATAAAACAAGATTCAGAAAAAAAGTTAACTCAAAGCTGTTCTACAAGTCGTGCATCAAATGATGAAACGGACGAAACGATGAAGAGATTCGAGAAAATGATCAAATATTGTGAGTCTGACTCTCAGTGCAGACATTCATTACTTCTATCGGAATTCGTTGGCGACGATAGTGTAGTGAAGACCGGATGCAAAACAAGTTGTGATGTTTGCACTCATCCCAAGAGAGTCAAGAGAAGTGCCGACGAATTCAGAAATTTTATGTTAAATAAGGGATTGAAAACGAAAATAGAGTCTAAGGATACGGAGCCTGACTTTGGTCTACCCAAACATGATGTGCCACAACACGTCGGCAAAGACGACAAACCCGACAAAGAGTTCTCAATGACTGATTTGATTAGAAAAGAGTTCAAACGCAGAAACAAAACCACTTCCAGTAATTCAAGTCAGGATTCAAGATATATGGGTTTTAGGAGTGCGACAGACGTTATCGAACCGACCAATGATCGCATCAAAGACGTGGATCTCAAGACTCGCCACGATTTTGTCAACCATTTAAAACTAGACATCACTGGACACTATAATCGAGTCGGCGTTTTGAATGGCATTCAACTCAACGACTCTCACATCACTAGAATTGCGGCTGAATTTGAATTAAATGTTTATAAAACAAAAACATCGAAAATTAGTTACAGATCTACTGTCGCACAGTTTATACGAGAACTCAACAAATCGTCACAACAATCACAGGTCCACTCTTACATTCAGACATTCATCGACTCACAAAACAATGGCTAACATTCAAACGATTATAGATTTCCTTAATTTACCGAATTTGCCTTTAATTGTATTCAATTTCTAATTAATTATTTGATTATTAACTAAATTTTATACTGTATTTTCCATAAGTATCGGATAAAACTAATAAATTCTCAATAAATAACATAAATGTTGTGTTTATTAAATACTTTCCTTAAAGTAATCTTTGAAATAAAAAACCAATGATTATATCAATTGAGAAACATTTTTAATAATTCAATCAAATGGCGAATACAATCAAAATCTTAATTTAGTGAAAAACCAGCGATTTTTGCCAGATTTGTATCGCTCTTCAAATCTGGTCCTAATCTCTCGGCGAGCTTTCCTTCGCTTCGCTCCGTCTTTCACCACATCTTTACTGGCAATGGATTTGTCGAAAGGGATCTCAACTAAATACCTGTTCAACACATCCAATCAATACAATGTCATCAAACAATGGCCACCACATGTGCGATGGTATGGCATACCTGGTGGGCATCAGATGGTTATAGTTGAGCACTTTGACGAAAGGCTTGATCTTATTCCTCTTGGCCTTCTTCTTCTTCCCCATCTTCTTGAGGATGGGTTTGGGATAGCGATCGATGCCGGCGACCAACGCGTGTCCGTAGCTCTTGTCGTTAGTGCCCTCGTCGTGGTTGCGAAGGATCACTGCTTTACGTCCGGCATATTTGCCGGCCAACACCAGAACCACTTTTCCCGGTTTCATTATTTTACCCATTTTTGCTCACTTTGGGGGCAATTGAGTCACAATTAAGGCTTAAATACAATTAATAGCGAAAAAGTGCTTACATTTGGTGTGAGTTATGGGAGGAAAAGGAAGTGATGAACGCTTTATCCCAACAAACAATTACGACAACACTTGAGTCCATTCAATACAACACAACGTTATTGGCATTGAATGACAATACAAACAAACCGTACATTCATTGGCTATTGAACCACAAATGGGCGGAGTTTTGGTGACACGTGTTGTTAATGTTTAACAATAATATTACGTGTGTTTAGGAAAACCTTTAAAAATAAATGCATTCAATGTATTCATTCTGTCATTAGTTGTAGTTTTAATCATATTTTCTTATATTTTTGTTACAATTTGTAAAATTTATTTTTAATTACAATTATTACTAAACAATTAAGCGTTATATAAGTTGTCTTTTTATGTGTTATTAAATTTTAAACTATTTTAATACTTGTATTGAAAGTTGTGAACAAAACAAAAGGAGAGAGTTTTTGAAAACATATGACAATTAAAATCTAAATTATGACTACAATTATGTGTAAAATAATTGTTTAGAGATTGCATTAAAACAAAACAATGATTTATTAACATATTTATTGAACTGATTGTTTGAAATGCAATTAAAAGTCTTGAGATGTGATTTGATAGTAATTTTATTACTGTTTTACAATCAATGTCTTTGTATAACGCGATCGTTAACTAAACACGAGATTAATAATTATAAGTAAGTCTATATTATTAGTGATTTGTTTGATATATTAAATGCAAATTTATTGCTATAATTTAGGGGTAAAATAGTGTCAATGTTTTATCACTCGTACGAAAGTTATTTGAAATATGCCTCAAATTATGATGAATTGCAACCGATTTCATGCCAAGGAATGGACACTTGGGGTCAGTTCTCCCTCTCATTGATCGACGCTTTGGACACTTTAGCCGTTTTTGGCAATTATACTGAATTCAGACGAGTCGCTCAACTGGTCGTCGAGACCGCAGACTTCAACACTAATATCAATGTTTCCGTCTTTGAAACCAATATAAGAGGTGAAGAAAATATGAAACTAAAAATACACGAATATTTGACACAATTATAATGATTTGACGATTGAATTGTAGTGATAGGAGGCTTACTATCAGCACATTTGCTGTCGCAGAAAGCGGGTATAGAGACCGAGAAGGGGTGGCCGTGTGAGGGCCCTCTTCTTAGGCTTGCAGAGGATGCCGGGCGTCGACTTCTTCCAGGTATCACTCATTCACAATGTGTTATTGGTTTGAATTTAATTACAAATATTGTTTTAATGCGAAAGCCTTTGAGTCAAAGACGGGAATGCCTTTCGGAACCGTTAATTTGCGGTATGGAGTGCCTGAAAACGAAACCCCCATTACATGTACGGCAGGCGTCGGAACATTTATACTCGAGTTCTGTACTCTGTCTCGTCTGACAGGAGATCCCATATTCCAGAATAAGGCCTTAAGAGCTATAAATGCGTTGCATAAGAGTCGCTCTTCCATAGGATTAGTGGGCAATCATATCAATGTTGACGACGGAAAGTGGACGGCGACTGAGAGTGGGATCGGCGGTGGAGTCGATTCTTACTTTGAATATCTGGTTAAGGGAGCAATGCTTCTACAAATGCCTCAACTTATGGATATCTTCTATGGTATGACATTTGAGTATATTTTCATCAAATCATAAAAATATTTATATATCAGAGAATTATAGAGCGATTAACAAATACATTAAGAAAGAGGATTGGTATGTATGGGTGAGTATGACTAGTGGTGCGCCAACTATGCCTATATTCCAATCGTTAGAAGCCTTTTGGCCGGGAGTTCTCGTAAGAATTGATATTTGCTTTGAATTATTAGTGATATTAATTGAATATTTGTATTGCCAGACACTTATCGGTGATGTGGATCAGGCGAAGAAGACTATCTATAACTACCATCAGATATGGAAACAATACGGCTTTCATCCGGAGTTCTATGACATTCCAAACGCAAAGCTTAATTCGAAACGAGACGGATATCCGTTGAGACCAGAGTTTGTCGAAAGCGTTCTCTACCTCTACAGAGCCACTAAAGATCCACATCTGCTTCAGATCGGAGCCGATGTCATCGATTCCATCGAGAGTTCCACTAAAACTGAATGCGGTTTTGCGACCGTTAAGAATGTCGGCGACCACACCATCGAAGACCGAATGGAGTCATTCTTTTTAGCCGAAACTCTTAAATATTTATACCTATTGTTTGATGAATCAAATTTCGTCCACAACGACGGCTCAACCGGTTATGTAATTGACAGAAATGGCAGCGAATGTGTTGTCGATAGCGGTGGCTATGTATTCAACACAGAGGCCCATCTCATCGACATAGCGGCCGTCTATTGCTGTTCAAATCAAAAGAAAATCCAATCAAATATAATGTCTGAATTTCGAGACAATTTAGATCTCTATTCAGTTATGGGTATAAATCAAAAGCCAAGTAATCCTTTAAAAACAATTCGTGACAAATATAGAGAAGAATTTCTCCAAGAATTACACGTTTATGAGAAAAGTGATGCAAATAATGATATTTTAAGTGAAAGTGATTTTCATGGATCCGAAGACGACTTAAAAGCCGATTCGGGCATCACTTTAGATTTGGATTCAAATGAGGCCTTAGATTCAGATCAAACAGAATCAAGTGATCCATTAGAAGACGATGTGATAAATTCAATGCCCAATACTAAGTCTCCCGATGCGGAAGAAACCATTTCATTAGGATGTGAGAGCACATTGACTGATGTGAGCACTTCTAGTGAGTCGTTGCAAATGGATTCACTTTCGCCGACACTCGACTCGAGTCTCAATTCCTTAAATATTCCAAACGTTGACAAAACAAATGCTCAGAATTTGCATTTGAAGAGTGAATCGACGCCTGGACTCGAAACTACATTCAGTGATATATCTGTCGGCGATATTCACTTGAAAGAGACCATTAAAGTGGAGACCAATACAGTAATTGACACCAAAGTGAGAGATAGTTTAGAACCGACTCATTCGATAGAGGGCTGGCATTCCAAGTCATTGGACCAACAATTGTCCGAAGATATCATATCTGTGATGAACGACAACACATTAATCGATGACAAACTCTCTCAACAAATCATGAAAATGCTTTCAAATACTTCTAAATACGAATTATTTGTCAATTCATCGAAAACACCGCAAACTCCGGACGAAATGAATTCATTCAACACCTGTTCACTCAATTACGAGCTCTTGTTGTGTCCGTCGCAGCCATTCCTCTCTCGGCTCTCATATTTCGGTCAAATGATTGTTTTCAGTTAATTCTCATTCAAATTGTTTTATTTTATATAAAATAATTGTACAAAAAATAGTCAAATAAAGTAATTAATAAGTTATATAAAGTTAAATGAAATATAGTTTAATTTATTCGTTGATCTCATGGTTAAGCTTGAAATAAGCCAATTGTGATGACGTAAGCCGTGATCGTCTAGTGGTCAGGACATTGCGTTGTGGCCGCAATAACCCAGGTAAAATCCTGGTCACGGCAACGCCTTTTATCACCTTTTCGTTATCATTTGCTTTATTTTTACTTTTTTTTCAATTTTCACACTTTTTGCATACCTTATCATTCATTCGCTAAGTTTCTCACCAATAGTTACTATCCTGGTCACGGCAACGCCTTTTATCACCTTTTCGTTATCATTTGCTTTATTTTTACTTTTTTTTCAATTTTCACACTTTTTGCATACCTTATCATTCATTCGCTAAGTTTCTCACCAATAGTTACCACGATTTCTGGTGATAGTATTAATACTTGATTGTAGTTTAGTTACGCCTTTATTTATGAAATATGAACGCTGTTGTAATGTTGCAATTGACGCAAAAAGGGCGTAACTCTCACTATAGCGTAACATATGATGAATGCATTGCAAGCATAGAGAGTCTCTATTAGAGACAGTAAACAAATGTGTAAACAATAGGATTGCATACAAATCGCTAACACTTTTCGCCCAACACTTGATTTAATGTGACATTTGTTGCCATAAAAGACATAACAAATCCAGTTATCACTTAATTTAAGTCTAAATTGTGGTTCAAATTAAGTTAATTACCGTCTCTTTAAGCGTTATGTCACTCTTATTGACATTAATTAGTGATAATTGTGTGGTTTGTGATAATAATTGAAGAGCTCTTCGCTAGCGATGCGGACATCACTTGTTGGAAGTGTTGGCGATGGAAGTGATGGCAACCAGGACTCGATGTGGCCACTGGTCGCCGGACTGTTCGCCTTTATGGCACTGTTTGTGTCCATTTGGGAAATCACTCAACACTTAAGCCATTATAATAAGCCATATCTGCAGAAATATGTGGTGCGGATCCTATGGATGGTTCCCATATATGCCATGAATTCGGTCACTATTTTTACAAAACATTTCATTTATTGTCCAAATTGTATGAATCGCTAAAATATCTATATATTTGATTGCATTGTATTCAGTGGTTGGCAATGAATTTCCCGGTGATAGCCATATATGTGGACACTCTTCGCGAGTGTTACGAGGCGTTTGTTATCTACAGTTTTATGAAGTATTTGCTGAACTTCTTGTTTCACGAGATGGATCTGGAAGTGACCATTGAATGCAAGCCTGGAGTCCAGCATCTGTTCCCGCTATGCTTTCTGGCCCCGTGTGTCGGCGGACGCAGGTTTCTGGACCGATGCAAACACGGGATCCTTCAATATGTAGTGATCCGACCCTTCACTACATTCCTCGCACTGTTAGTCGCCTATTATTTCTCCATTACTTGAATCAAACATTTATTCATTGATTATTTGATAGTTTTTTCGAAATACTTGGCGTTTACGGTGAGGGACACTACGGGCCCTCTTATGCCTATCCCTATCTACTGGTCATTAATAATATCTCACAAATGGTAAAATTGGATTATATTTGTTGAGCTTTTATTAATGTTGCGCTCGTTTTGTTGTTTGTGTCGATGGGAACAGATAGCGATGTATTGTTTGGTCATATTCTACACCACCTATAAGTACGAATTGGCACCAATGAGACCATTGGCCAAATTCTTATGCATCAAAGCTGTTGTGTTTTTCTCGTTCTTGTGAGTTATGACTCAAATGTTGATTAAATTGAATATTAAAATATTAATTATTAATAGTCAAGGAGTGGTGATATCGATATTCATTCAAATCGGTTTTATAACTCAGGCCTTCATTCCTGAAGGCATTAAAAGAGGCCACACAGACATTGCCCGCAACTTTCAAGTACTGTACACTATATTGTTGTTTGGCGTGAATTAGTTGTAATCTGTGTTTTGTTGTTATGAAACCAGGATTTCTTAATTTGCTTCGAGATGTTGGTGGCGGCGATCGCACACTTATATGCCTTCTCTCATAAGCCGTTTGTGGATTTAGCGGCAGTTAATGATCCCATTTGTCTCAGTTTTATGCGAATCATTGATTTGACTGACGAGAGGACAGATATCTCCGATCATTTCAGACAAATCCGTGTGTTTTTGATTCATATTCTCATCTCTTTATTCTATAACAATATTTGATTTTTAAAGGAAAGCGATTAAGAGATGTGTTTCGGAACAGACGACAAGTGGAGGGCTTTGAAGAGAACAGTCCTCTCATACCATTAGAACGGAGAGGTTCTAAGAATTATAGGAGTCAACAGTCGGAGGAGACATTCGTTACTATTTGACGCCTTTTATCTGTTTTATCATAAATTTTAATAAATCTAAATTAACACTATTTACAAATATACATGTGCACATTCATTGTTTGCTATTCTTGTGCATACGAAAAGTAGATGTGATGAGAGCTAAACAATTTCTAACCAACAATTTAAGTCATCCTATGATTAATTTGATTAAGACCTGTATTTTGATCACGAGTTGTGACCAAAATTATATTAAAATAGGAATTTTATTGACATTAATTGAATATTTAACAAACTATAGGGAATTGATAGGCCATCACCTGATATACAGTGTTCATATAAAATACATGGATGTGGACAACAGTTATCAAATATTTGAAAAAGCCATCGATTACACCACTGAATGAGTCGTTCAATTGGTTTGTAGTACAAACTTTGTACAGTAGTAAGCGTTGAGTGAATTGAATGGCTATCAGTAGTAATGCATTGCCTTTACATACGCTATGACTCTATGAGAGAGAGTTTTGTTTGTTATGAATGAGTGAATGAATACTTTCACGCATTCAGGCATTCATTGCTGTAATTAATTTGAATTGTTATTAAATAATAAACATTTGATTATTGAAATGATTAGCAAAACCGTTGCTTAACATTGAGTCTAATATTGTGTCCATTGTTTGATTACAAGAGGAATAGGGATCTAATAATAAGCGAAGACTTGAATCAAATCTATGGATCAAATGACTTCATTGACGAGTGATTCAGAGAGCGATACCTCCATTGAGTCCAACTCATGGCTAGTGATGTCTCAGTCCTCGCAGTCATCAATTGTGGGCCAATTGAAGGCCATTGACATGAGTTGTGGCCAATCGGGCGCTCAATCGGGTGTGGATTCGGTCAACAATTTGGACGATTACTCTCTTCTATTGATTTTCTCGAAACTGTCTTTCGTGGAGAAACTGTCGGCTCAGAAGGTGTGCCAGAAGTGGCAGAAATTGGTGGACAAACTGATCCGATGCCAGAACTCGATTGGAGTGACCATTAGTTTCGCCGTCTGTCAGGAAATCAAACATCAGGTGTCGACCGATCAATGCATTGGCGATGTCTTTGACAGCGCCGTCGAAGACAACACAAAGTGGTATTTCGTCAACGCATCCAATCTGTCGTCAGTTCTGTCAAAGTGTCCAAACCTTAAGTCTTTGATTCTCCAGAACTGCATCTTTTGCCGGGAAGTGTTGGAAGTGTTCCAAAACGACTGTTCATCACATTTAGAGCACTTGGATCTGAGTTACAGTTCTTGTAATATCAACGAAATTTTGCAGATTTTGAGCGATAATTGCAGTCAAACTCTGAGACACGTTATGTTAAGAGATAATGAAATCAACGAAACGGCTCTTAAATGTCTCATCACTTCTTGCAAACAATTGGAAGTTTTAGTTTTGGACAAAAACGTTGACATCACTGGCCATTGCTTTGATCTCTTCGGTGAGAAGATTAGCCACTTATCAATCGTTGACTGCAATAGTATTGACGACTCGGGTGTCAACGCTTTGGTGGCCGGAAATGGCAAACATTTGACTCGCCTTCAAATTGGGGACTCAATCAAGCCATCGATGTTTCAGACAATTTGCCAACAAATGACATCTTTGAGGTCTCTGGAGTTCAACGGATTTAAAGCCGATTCAGTGACCGCTTCCAACGCTTACACTTTCATATCAAACTTAGAAGCACTACAAGAGCTGATCCTAACTGTCGGTCGGATCCCATTTGACACACAATTGACTGCAATTATAAGCAAATGCCATGACTTGAGAAAAGTGAAGATTGACGGCGCGATTGTCACCAATCTTTCTCTAAAACAAATGGCAATCAATTGTCCACTTATTGAACAAATATCGATAACACCTTCGGATTCGTTCACAAATAGTTTTATTACAGACGACTGTCGCTACGAATTGGCATCGCTTTCGCATTTGAAAAGTCTTTCCCTCTGCTGTTCGTCGATAACAGATCTCTTTGTTGAGGCCATCATATCGTGTCCGAGACTGGCATTCATTGAAATGGATTCGTGTAAAGCGATTACAAACAAATCGTTGGACTTTTTCATCGGAGCCGCGAAATCGCGTCCAAACGATAAGATATTGCTTTTCATTCAACGAACCAATATATCAAAGCCGTCGACGAACTTACCATCAAATCTATGTGTTTTCGGCGCATCTCTTATGTAACCATCACTTGAGACGCCTTTCATTCAATTTATTTACTAAATTCTTGATTTTATTATTAATATTTCTGTTAGTTTTATGTTTTATTTATAAATAAATATTAACTCATTCTTTATATCACATTTTATCTATTATTTTATGTCTCTATTAGTTTAACATTGGTTTTATTAATTGATAATGTATTCCCCAATTGTAATTGTATTATTGTATTAACTTATGGTACAAATAGGTGTTTAATAGTTTCTAAAATTATGTAAAACTCAATATAATATACATATTATTTGCAAAGATTGTGATTTTAAGTAGAATATGATTTATTATTGAATATATAAATTCTCTGTGTTTTGATTGTCGTAATTCATAATATGTTGTAAATATTTTAGTCATCTTTAATTATATTACAAATTGTTTTAATGTTGAAAGGTTTAACACTATTAGCACGGGTTATGTAATGATCACCATTTCCTGTAAATGTCTTAGTACTCAGTATATCAATAAAGTTTCTTTTCATTCATTCATTCAATATGTGTTTATTTATCAATTATCTTAATTATCATTTTATATGCATAACTAAAGCTTCCAATGTTCGGGAATTCCCGATTAAATTAGTTAATCTCTCTGTGGAGTTGAGGTCTAAAGGCATGGACTGAACTGTGCATCAATTGGAGGGTCTGGGGTTCAGTTCCAGGTGAAGCCTGTAGTCATCATTTTCTCTACTAAATGCATTATGTGATCACATTATGTCACTTCGGCCAAACTCGAGGTCACTGACCATATGAACTATACTCAGCGACTTCTTACAGAGTGTAGTTTCATTTTATATTAAAATCTCCCTGGTGCACCTTTGTCAGTTTTGTCAATGGTAGTGGCTGATGTACACTTAAAGTGTACTTTTAAAATATACTAGTCACTAGTGCAATTTTCATGATGAGTACACAATATTGAACATAATTTCTAATAGATAAAACTATTTTCTTAGATGTCTCAGAAAATATAAAAATTATTTAGTCATACTTATAGAATATCTCATATGAATTAACCGGAATGTATCAGGCTTAGTAATAAGGACTAATGTTAAAACCCATGCATTAAACTTATATAGTCAACCATTTACTTGAATTTATAATCAAGTAAAATTGTAATAAAACTTGTATTGAATTGAATGTAATGATTTGGTTTTAACATTAGTCCTTATGACTAAGCCTGATACCATTCAGGTTAATTCATATACTTTGTATACTTTAATTTTCAATAGTGTTATACAAGATCAAAACAATTAATGACTATAAAACTATTTTTACTATTTACTATAATTCCGATTAATTATACTTTACATTAAATTGATAATTGATTGATTAAAAGGATTTGTATGAAATAAATGTCAATTAATAAATGCAAAGTCTATCAAATAAAATTCACATTCAAACATCAATTCCTTCAATTATGTTACGTTCAGTTCATAACTCATATATTCTTTGAATAAATACTGATATACTTTACAATGAATGGGGCATTAAATTGGAAATATTCAGTATATTTTTGATAAAAGTGACAAAACTTTAAAATAGATGATTGTATTTAAGGGTAAATTAAATGAACTTTTATACGGATTTCTAGTATAAAAAGAGGCGCAAAATGTCATTTCCAATCACTTGATTGCCTTCAGTTTTACTATACGTTTGATTTTAATAAAGTTTTTAATTGAGAGCAAAACGATCTTAAAATGAATGCC